AGACTTGAAGAAAAATACAATGATTTGAAACTAGGATGTAGTAAATATGTATTAGAGTTCGCATAATGTTAGAAATGTCACTAATGTTTGAATAAATAGTCATTTTAGTTCATATTTTTTTAGAAGTATTTTATCTCCCAATATTTTATTTTAAGACGAATAGACCTCTAATGTTTGACTAAGTAATCACTTTAGGTCATATTCTTTTTATTTTGATGATTTTGGTCCTCAACATTTTATTTTAGGACAAAAATACCCATGTTTTAGATCCTTGACCATTTATTAACTAACAGTTTCAGAGTCTTTTGCCTCAAAATGAAGTTTTGGGGGACAAAATCATTCAAAAAATAATATGGGACAAAGTAATTATTTAATCAAACGTTAAGAATATTTTTTTATCATTGTGCCATTAGAGTTTTCACCCCAAATCTCCCCTTAAATATTCAGGAAAATTAACACCACCTTACAATAGAAACTCCACGTCTTTCATTACGCCAAACCTAAACCGCCACACATCCAAGCTTGTAGCCGTTTGGAAAATAATAAAAATTAGCTGACACTGTTCCCATATGTAATGGGGTAAGGGGGAGATAGGTAGTATGCTGCCCCCAACACCAGGTTGAAAGCAACTTCCGTTATGAATTACCCTCAGTAGGAATCGATCTCACGACCACAAAGTTAAGAGCCTTGCGCTCTACCAACTGAGCTAAACGGGCAATTTGGAAAATAATCATTACGATAATTCCAAAAAAATGACCTATTAAATACATAAAATGTTTCCAACATAAGTCTTGAATCAAGTTATTTTGACATTCCTTCAGCTAGAGAGACAAATTGTTATACCTCATCCAAATATCCTACACAAATTCCTACACACAACAAAACACTATGTTAAAAATCAAAATCTCTAAAACAAGAGGACACAATCATATCTATTTAGCCTGTCAACCTATGAGTAACCATCATAATCGTAGATATGATGTCGATGTCACGAGTTACTATAAAAACCCTATGAATATCGTCATCAACAAAAATCATAATTACAAGTTTACGTTCTAAGCATAGACGTTTTATTTTAAAAAACCTCAATAATTAATTAAATATAAAAACAATCCCAAACAACACTATTTAAAAAAATAACCCTTAAACTACCCATGTAGGATTACCTCACATTCTATAAAACGTGTTTAAAGACCTTGCTTTCTTTAAAATGTGAGATACATCAAATTTTATATAAATGCACTGAACTCATTTTTCGTTAAACGGGAGGTAACTTTTTGCATAACACCATGTTTGAGAATATTTTTCTAAAACAACTGATCGGGTTTTTTTTTGTTCAAAAAATATTATTTGAAGGTTATTTTTTTTAATTAATTATTGGAAGTTTTTAAAATAATAACGCCCTAAGTATATATATACCTTAAGTTTGATGTTAAGATGCGTCTTACAAATCACATCTTTTAAAAAATGTTTATTACGTAGCATATAATTATAAAAAAGAAAGAATTGAAAAAAAAAATTCTAATCTGAAACAAAATGAAACCTCTTCAGGCGCACGTTAGCAGGACTGATGGGCTCTCGGATGCGGTTCTCGTTTGCTAATTTATGTTTCTTGTTCGCAATTCTTGAGTGTTCTTCACTTCATTTTTGCTTCAATTTTGATGGAATTGATGGCTTCTGCTCTTGATTGGAGGAAACTTTTCAACGGTACGAAGGAGCATGCCCTAGATTTCTTTCTGCCTGTAGTCTCGGAGGGAACTGCTACTGTAAAACCTCCGTCTGCTATATTTGAAGAGGGTATTGCTGAATGGAGTTGTGCTGTGGTTGGACAATTTATTGGCTCTCATCCTAACTTTGGATCCATGCAGAGGATTGCTGAGATTCTTTGGGGGAAACTGTCTTCGGTTAAGGTGAGTTTAGCTGGTTCAAACCTCTATGTCTTTACATTCTCGAATGCTGAAATGAGAGATTGGGTTCTAGAGAATGGCCCTTGGCACATTCAAAATAAACCCCTAGTTTTAAGGAAATGGGAGCCGAGCCTAAAGAAACTAGATTTTGACTTTAAGCATATTCCAGTGTGGATCCAGCTTTATAATGTTCCTCTTGAGCTTTTTTCTAGAGGAGGCCTTAGTTATATAGCTAGTGTTGTTGGGGTCCCTTTGTATATGGATTCTGTTACTGCTTCGAAGGAGAGATTGGAATTTGCCAAGGTTTGTGTGGAGATTGAGGCTGGAACATTGTTGCCAGATGTTATCAATGTAGTTTTGCAGGATGGTTCTGTAGTGGTGGTTCGTGTCTATGCTCCATGGTTCCCTAAATTCTGTACTCAGTGCAAAAGCTTTGGGCATCAGACTCACTCATGTGCTGAGATTTCTAAGGTTAAGGGGAAAACTAAATATAATATGATTTGGAGGAGGAAGGAAAATCCTCTCCCTGATTACCTTGAGAAGCCAGATAATAAGGTCATTGTAGGGGCAAAAACTGCTAATCTGAAAGTTGAGATGCTGAGGAGTTGTCAGTTCATGCCTTGCAAGAATGCACAGGTGATATGGCGCATGTGACTGTTATAGACAATACTGGTCCCTCTCAAGTTCTTGGTAAATCTGTTTCTGATGTAACTGATAAGAATTTTCAACTTTCTGTTGACCAAGTTGGTGAGAGCCTGTCAGGGGTTGCGGTTGAGAAGTCTTTGCTTCCTGTGGTTCAGATGAACTCTAGCTGTGGTGAGTTCCCTACCCTGCAAGATTCTATAATTCTGAAGAAGAAGACTCGGGGGAAGAAGATGGTTAATACAGGCTCTTCTAGTAAGATGGATTCACTTATTGATGGTGGTGTTGATGGTAATAAAAAGACTAGGGCAGCTTATTTGGGAGTTGCAATGCTCTTGAATGAAATCAAATCTAAAAAGAAGGATCATTTGGTGAAGGCTAAAGATACTGTAGTTGGTGGTGCTAGTATTGGTGTTCCTCCTGTTACCATTAATAGATGATCATAAGCTTCTGGAATGTTAGGGGCCTCAATAATGGGCTCAAGAAAGAGAAAGTTTTTAGAAGATTTGAGAATTTAGAAGTTGATGTCCTATGTTTCATGGAAACTAGAGCAAGGAGAGTTAATTTTCCTAGTTTTGCTGAGGTACTGGTTACTGATTGGAACTTAGTAGATAATTATGAATTCTCTGATAGGGGTAGACTTTGGTTACTTTGGAAAAGGCTCTATCTTTCTCTGTTCTTAAGATAAGTGATCAGGCTATTTCGATTGTTGGTAATGTGGCTGGTCATAGAATGGTTATTACTGCTGTATATGGCAGTAACAACAGTCTGGTGAGGAGAGGTCTTTGGGCTCATCTGAAGAGTTTGGAATCTGTTATTGGTTCCTCTTCTTGGGTGATTGGGGGTGATTTCAACATCTTTGTAAATGCACATGAGAGTTCTGATTTTGGTGAGTTGGGTACATACACTAATTCTGACATGGATGATTTTAAGGAGTGTTTGGTGGACTTGGAGCTTCAAGATCATCCCTACATTGGTCATTTCTACACTTGGTCCAATAAGCAAGAAAATTCCTTCTTAGCTCGCAAGCTTGATAGAATTTTAATAAATTCTCAGTGGTTTTTTGAGTTTCCAGACTCTGTTGTGGAATTTAAAGCCCAGGGTGTTTCTGATCACTGCCCTGGTGTCATTTGGACTCAGAAAGGGGCTCAGGTTCATAAACCAAAGCCGTTCAAGTTCTTTAATTGTTGGATTGCTAATGAGAACTTTCTGAGGGTTGTTAAAGACTCTTGGCAAGAGGATTGTAGGGGCAATGCTATGCAGCTGCTTTTTAACAAGTTGAGGAGGCTTAAGCCAGTTTTAAAGGAATTGAACAGAAGTTATTATTCTGACATTTCTGGCAGAGTTGCTGCAAAAAGGGCTGAGCTTGAATCTATTCAGCTTTTTAATCTTGTCCATGTGAATCAAAGGAGGCTGGAGGGGAGAGCAAACTTAGAGATGATCTTGTAGCTCTTGAGGATGCTGAATCTGAATTTTATAAACAAAGAGCCAAGGTTCACTGCTACAAGAAGGTGATATGAACACTCGGTTTTTCCATCAGAGAGTAGAAGTAAATAAGAAGAGGAACACTATTAAGATTATTAAAGATGATAGTGAGATTTATCATGAATCTTTTGAGAGTATGGCAGTTGTTCTTGAGGAATTTTTTAAGAATCTTATTGGAACTACTGACCCTAGTGTACAGGATGTTCTACTGAGTGGCTTAAATCTGTCTTGACTTATTCCCTTCCCCCTGGTGCTGCTGATGGTCTTACTTCTGAGATCACTAATGCTGAGATTAAAGATGCATTGTTTAGACAAGGAAACAATAAAAGTCCGGGTCCTGATGGTTACACCCCTTGGTTCTTCAAGGTTGCATGGGACATTGTATGTAATGATTTCTTGAAGGCTGTAAGGTACTTTTTTCAAACTTTAACCATCTTGCCTGCTTTCAATGCCACTGTCCTAGTCTTAGCTCCTAAATCCTTAAATGCATGCATGGCTAAGGATTTTAGGCCTATCTCATGTTGCTCTGTGTTTTACAAGACCATCACTAGAATTTTGGTTTCTAGATTAGCTTTATTTTTCCCTGACATGATATCCCTTAACCAGTCAGCATTTGTTAAGGGAAGAAACATAGCTGATAACACTTTGCTTGCTCAAGAAATTGTAAAGGGATACTCTAGGAAGAATTTATCTCCTAGATGCACTATTAAAGTTGACTTGCATAAGGCCTTTGATTCAATTGGTTGGGATTTCTTGATGATTGTTTTGGAAGCTATGGGTTTACCTGAGGTTTTTTGTGGATGGATAAAAGCTTGCATCACTACTCCTCGCTATTCAATTTCTTTGAATGGGAGCTTGGTGGGGTTTTTTTAAGGGTGCAAAGGGGGTAAGGCAGGGGGATCCTCTATCCCCTTATCTCTTTGTTATCGTTATGAATGTTCTATCTACCCTTTGGATGCTGCAGCAATGAATGGTGTGTTCAGATTTCACCCTAAGTGCAAAAGAATTCCCCTCACTCATCTTTGTTTTGCTGATGATTTGTTATTGTTTTGCCATGGGTCTTTGGATGCTATATTGGGAGTAGTTAGTACGCTTGAAAAGTTTTATGAGATCTCAGGTCTTAAGTTGAATGCTTTAAAGTCTGAGTTGTTTGCTTGTGGAGTGGCTAGGGATGAGCTTGAAGTGATCCAGAGTGCTACTGGTTTTAAGTTAGGCCAGCTTCCTGTTAGATACCTTGGGATACCCTTGGTCACTCGAAAGCTCTCAAGTAAGGACTGTTCTGCCTTGCTTGTGAAAATCAAAGGTAGAATTGACAATTGGTCTAGTAGGAAACTCAGCTTTGGTGGTAGATTGCAGCTTGTGAAGTCTGTCATTTTCAGTATATTTGGTTACTGGTGCAGGCAGGTTATTCTGCCTAAAGGGGTTATGAGGGATATTGAGAAAATTTGCTTGAGGTTCTTTTGGAAGGGCAGTGATACTTCAGCAAGAGGGGCTAGAGTCAGCTGGAATCAGATTTGTACCCTTAAATCTGAGGGTGGTTTGGGCCTTAGGAAGCTGGCTGATTGGAGCAAGGCTTGTTGTTTCATGCTTATTAAAAACATTCTTGCTGGGGAGGGGTCCTTATGGATTGCCTGGGTAAAATCTTACTGTTTTAAATCAGTACACTACTGGGAGGTTGATAGTAAAGCTCAATTTAGTTGGACTCTCCGCAAGCTGATCAAAATGAGAGAGGAAGTTAGAAGACTTTTCTGTTCTATGGCCAATCTGTCACAGATTAAGGGCAGTTGGATTTGGGAAAATATTAGACAAAGGAGAGAAAAGGTTGACTGGCATCGGCTGATCTGGTTCCCAGCTCATGTTCCTAAATTCTCTATGGTTGCTTGGATGGTGATGCTGGATAGACTGACAACAAAGGACATACTTGGGCGTTTTGGTATTGTGACTGACAATCTATGTGGTCTGTGTGGGGCTAGTCAGGAAACTCGTAACCATCTGTTCCTGGAATGCTCCTATTCTTGTGAGGTTTGGCGCTCTATTATGAACTTTTATGGTTTGCATTACCAACTGCCGAGTTGCTGGGATGATGCTATACGCTGGATGGTCCTGAACTTTAAAGGTAAATCCCTCTTGATTTATATTCTCAAGTTAGCTTGGACTAGTTTTGTCTACTTTATCTGGGAGGAGCGAAATCACAGATGTTTTAGAGGAGTGACTCGCTCGACTGACTTAATTGTAAATAGAATTAGTGAGACTGTTAGAATCAAGCTTCATAGATGTCATATGAATAGGTCTGATGCTGTAAATAGTCAGTTGTGCCTCAATTGGGGGCTGATATTGTAGTCATATTGTTCTTTGTAGCAGCCCTGCTGCTTTCTTTTGGATGAATAAAATTTTACTTATCCAAAAAAAATTATAAAAAAGAATTCATGTTTTATAAATAAAATTGATTAGATATCATTATAAAATAAGTATTGTTCCAAAAATATTATCCTAGTAAAATCTTTTAACTTCCAATTTTCAAATTTATCAGACCAGCCACCTATCTTTGTGTTTGTTAATCCTATCTACCTAAATCTTCAACCTCAAAATCTGAAACAGTACCTCAGTGGTGTGACGGTAAACAATATTAACCAATAACCACACCACACGTCATAGTGTAGAGGAGTGATGGATGTCGCCAAAGCTTCGTACTACATACATATCATATAATGTCATACATGCATACATACATAGCCATCTAAGAAAAAAAAAGAGTGTAAAATATTGTTTTGTATTCTTCTTTCAACAAACGCCGTAAGAAATGGAAGATCTTTCCTTTTTTTGACTGCCCCTTACTTTGTTTTCTGCTGTTATTTATTTCCATTTCGTTTTCTCCGTTGTCATCTCGAGGTGAGCTTGTAGTTTTTTCCATCATCAATGGAAGATTAATGTATACTCTGCATAGTTCCGAGACGATTCCACCATTTTTATATTCCCAACATTTCAAACTTGATTTTTTTTAAAGTTCATCCTTTTGTTTTTGTTTTTGTGTGTGTGTGTTTTGGGGGGGGGGGTTTATAAATTTCAGGTCTTTTGTGTTTTAGGAATAATCATCAGGCCATGGCAGTTGTTGAGAATGCTTCGAACCAAGATGCAGCTGCAACAGCAGTGGCATCAAACGATCAGGATCAGTCAAAGCAAAACCGAGTTCGGTCAAGGATTGATCCGAGCTTACACCAGGATGATCAGGGGTTATACAACAAGATCGGTGTTAGCCATCCTCAATCCAACGGTGGGGATTTACAGAGGAACAATGGTGGTGCTGGGGATGAAGTTGGGGATAGCTTCAAGAGAGAGATGAGGGAGTTGCAAGAACCTGTTCTCTAAGCTTAACCCCATGGCTGAAGAGTTCGTGCCTCATTCAGTTGCTGACCATGGACTCAATGGAGGGTTTTTCACTAACAACTATTTTCTGCAAAACAACAATAACATCTCAAGGAATGGCCAGGCAAATGGCAACGGTGCTGGTAGGCAGGTATGCCATCAAAAACCCTTTTTTTTATTGGTTGCTTTGTTTACTGTTAAATTAAGATCATTAGTCATCTTGGAGTGAAAAATTAGTATAGAACAAAATGAATAAAATTGCTTTGTTCAGGGTTTGGAGGATGAAGATCTTCAAGCATCAAGATTTTCTTTTTAGATGTGATATGCTTTTGGCATCTGCATAAGAAATTTGTGTGTTTCTTTGGTTTAGTAGAGGTGTCTGTTAATGTACATCTTAAGCAGTATGAAATTTCAATGTTCAATTTCCAAATATTAGCAAATTTCTATCATACATCATCTCAATTATACAGGAGAACATCAGCTAATCTCATGGTTTTGTTCACTGATTTTGTACTTTTTTCAGAAGAAAATTTTCAATCAAGGTAAAGGGAGATTGAACAACAGGACAAGTATGGCCCAGTCAGAGGAGATTATCCGTAGAACTGTTTATGTGTCTGATATTGATCAACAGGTATGTATAGTCGGCATTTTGAGTTTGTTAGGATGCTGCAATTGGTTCTGTAATCTCTGCTCTTTGTTCTTTTGGATTCATGTAGTCTTGCTTGTCCGGATGTAGGTCACTGAAGAGCAGCTTGCTGGTTTATTTGTGAGTTGTGGGCAGGTGATATGTGTTCTTTGCTTGTTTTAACAGTTTTCATCAAAACGATGTATCTCAATGAATTTTGTTTCTTATGAAGGTGGTTGACTGCCGCATTTGTGGTGATCCAAATTCTGTACTTCGTTTTGCCTTTATTGAGTTCACTGATGAAGGTGATGTTTCTAGAGTTATTTGATGCATAATTTAGGGGATTGAGACTATAGCTGTAAAACTTGTTATTTATATGCTTTACTGCATGGTGGTTTGGCTGTGCAGAAGGTGCACGAGCTGCTCTGAATCTGGCAGGGACCATGCTTGGATTCTACCCAGTTAGGGTGCTACCTTCGAAAACAGCTATTGCACCTGTTAACCCAACATTTTTGCCGAGGGTGAGGCCCATTGCTGCCATTTATTGTACTGGAACTCGTTGATAACTGAGTCTTTGAAGCAAAATTCATTCTCCTCACCTATTCGGTTTTTTTCTTTTTTAATATTTGTAATTTGTAATTTCGATTCCAGAATGAAGATGAACGCCAGATGTGTGCAAGAACTATCTACTGTACGAACATCGACAAGAAGGTGAGGTGCTTTTTGCATTTTGAAATGCTGACTATGAATAATAATCCCGATCACCAACAAAAAAGGCCCTTTACAATAATTATATGATTTTACTCTGTGCAGATTACCCAAGCTGATATTAAACTCTTTTTTGAAACAGTTTGTGGGGAGGTTTGTTATTCCATGAATACGCACTGTTATGTTTCTTCTATTTATCACATCAAAACCTATGCGGGAATGCATTTAAATGGACATCTTTTCTGATGTAGGTTTATCGCCTAAGGTTGCTAGGTGACTATCACCATTCAACTCGCATTGCTTTTGTTGAGTTTGTAATGGTAATTGTTTCTTCATCTTCATTCACACAATTTTTTGAACATTCCTGAACAAGTTTTCTCTAGTTTCTGACGGTTTGATGAGATAAATGAGGGTGTACTTTTTAGCTCTTAAAGGATTTAGGCTAGACAGTGAAGATGAAGTTTGTATTAGCTCTAAATAGTGGGGTTTCCGATCCTTTTCCAACCTAAAATTTTGTTACAAAGTTCAGGCTTGTTTTAGTAGGAAGTAGGGGAAACAAGAACAGAAGGCAAGGTAGTGAAACGAAACTGAATATTGTTCCATTCAGTTGATTCTTGGGTAATACCCAAAATGGTCCTTTCCTCCTTATCTTCGGGAAGTTCTTGTTAAAGTTCAGAGAGGAACGTTTAAAGAATTCTTGTTGTGTTTGGATCTTCCATTCCTTCTGATTTTTTCTTAATATTATAAGAAGCTTAAGGGCTTTTAGGGTACTCAATTGAGATATTGAGGGAAGCATATTGGAACATCTTTCCCTTTGAATTCACCTTGGAGTTGCTTGAAAAAATAGCAACAATTGCTACCATCAAATTTTATCTGTTAGCATGTTGCCAAGAGCTTTATTCCAAATGGTTGTGAAATATAATTAGCAATTCACCAACCATGACAGGATTAGTAAGCTACAATTCTCAATTAGGAAATTAGAACTACTATATTTTATAACTATTGGGCAGGGTCTCCGAGAGTATCTGACTTTCTAATTTGCTAAGAGAACAATGTTAGCACGAAGCATTACCCATCTAGTCAAGCATCAAGAATTCTCAATAGATGTTATTCTGCCTTTTGCTTGTTGTTATTGAATTTGCATTTAAAACCAAGTGTATAACATATTATTGTTTTCTCGGGAAAGTTGTGCGTATGATCATACGTTACTTAGATAGCATTGACCCTGCATTTTTTGAGTCTTTCGTGTCATCTTGTGCATGGAGATGATATTCTTTGCTTCCCTTTTTCAATGCAATGATGCAAAGTAGCTAGGTTAATTGTTTCCGATAGAAGCATGATCCTTTTAAGTTGATTTCCATGTGTGCTGTCCATTAAGGATAACTTTTGTGCTTCATTTCAGCATGTCCTTTATACTCCAATAACTTTTATAATGTTTATGGATCTTTTCCATACCAATCTTAGGGGAAAGTCCATTAAATCTTCCCCAAGTAATGGGACAGTGATACTTCTCGTTTCTAACATGGGGTTAGATTGAGCCATATATGCTCATGAACCTTGAAGAGCATGTTCTTGTCTTTCACTTACAACTTTTGTATCAATTACTGTACTCTTTGCTTTGGTGCTTCCTACATTACTGATGATTCAAAGGTTGTATTCCATTACGGTACGGTACACATTTGCACAGCAATTGCAATTTTGCTTATTAAAGTATAAAATCTTTTGTTTGTATCTTTGCTATTTGCTAATTACTGTAACTTGCATGACAAGGAAAAGAATGCTTTTGATCAGCAAATGATTCTGTTTGTCACACTATCAAAGGAATTATTTGACTTGTCTTGGATTGGAATGCCAAGTGATATTGTAAATTACATCGGCTTATCGGAGATGTTGTCTAACTTTTGAAACGAGTTTAAAGTTGGCGAGTGATATGTAGCTCCTTTTAAATCATCTCATGAGTCATGATTGGGTTTCTTCAGTGTTCATGAGTGAATGAATATGTAATCTTCTCTTATTCAATCGCAGGCTGAAAGTGCGATCGCTGCTCTCAACTGTAGCGGCGTGGTTCTGGGATCACTGCCCATAAGGTCAGATTCTTGGATTTCCATCATTACTCAAAATGATGTTTTCTTCTTTTCTTTTCTTTTTTGGCCATAATTTGTCTCCAAAGATCAATAATCTATTTTGATTGTGTTCTCAGTCAGCCTTTGTTTTTTCTTGTGTATGATCAGGGTAAGTCCATCCAAGACCCCAGTTCGGCCACGCACTCCTCGCCTCTCCATGCGCTGAATTTCTCGGACCCTACTTAGTATCTGTTTTTGTGTGTGTGTATATATATATATATTTAGAATCCATACGCACATCCATGTAAAGATATTTCCCATGTTGATCGTCTGTTATTTGCCCCAGAGTCATCTTCTGTTTGTCCTTGCAACTAACAGTACATAGAGTTGGATGGAACTTGGAGGCTTTGAATGATGTTAGGCATTATTACTCACTAATGTTGACTAGATTTTGTCCCAAATCAAACTTTTCTTTGCACACATCCTGGTAGTTAGAAGCTATGTGACAGATGGAGTGGTTCTTTAGTAATTTTCTGTAACTGGTAATGCGCAACCTTTGGATTGGTGACCGGTGCAAATAACCGCTCTATCGAACATTCTTCCCTCCTTTCCTCCTTCCACTTAAATTTGTGCATTTCACATGAACTTATACTGTATTATCTTGACATTGCATTACTAGAATACAAAGTGACACGTAAATATGTTACTACAATATTATTTATTTATATAGGAGTAGGGAATCTGCAAATGGATGGAAAAAACTCAGAGTTGCAGAAGGCATCTAAGAGATTTCCCGTCGACTAGCAGCTGAAAGGCTTCGTTTATCTTGTCGAAGGGAAGTTCGTGCGAGATGAACTCATCCAAGTTCAGGGTCTGGAAACAAACAAAGAAGACTCAGTCCCATTGGAGTTTTCAAAAGCAATTTGCAGAGAGGAGCAGAGGGTTGAGCTTTGACTTACCCCACACATGCATTGCTGGGCAAACTTTGGGAGTTGGGTTTTGCCTTTGAAGCCTCCAAAGATGGATCCTATAATTTGACGCCCATTAAACAACTCCATTGGATGCAGAGGCAGCAGCATCGGGCTCGGGTGAATCCCCAGCAATACGGTCAGTCCCCATCCCTGTGTCATCAAACGTGGATTACAGACAGATGCAACTGAGAACCAGAGGTATCGACGTTTACGGATTCAGAAATATTTTTTTAACATAAATACATACATGAGAGAGATGAAAAATGAGTTACCATATGGGTCGACAAAAATGCTTCACGGAGAACTTCAAGGTTTCCAGCACATTCAAAGCTGTAGTCCACACCTCCCAATGTTAGTGCCCCTATTTTCTGCAGTTAAAACCATTTGCATCAAGTTCCATTACAGGGGCCTTTTGTGGGCACAAATTTATTACTAACCTCGTGCACTGGAACTTCTAGATCCTTTGGGTTTATGAATTCTGTGATCCCCACGGCTTTGCCTGTTCCAACATTACCCACAGCATTTATAGCTTATGTCTTACATTAGGGTAAACTAAATGTTAATCTATCATGGATTTTAACTTCAAATATTATCACGTTAAACTTAAAAAGTTATATAATTATTAATAATTTTGATTATAATCGAGAATATTATACTAGGACAAGTTTTAACCTAAAATGTTACATATCCACTTAAAAAGTTTTACAACTGATTATATTTTCAATTACAACGAAAATATATTGACGGTAGCTATTTAGGTTGCGACCAGAATAATCGTACAATTTATTATATTGTTATAGAAAATATAATATTTTCAATTTCAACTTCAAATATTATCCATTTTACTCTAAAAAATTACGCTCTTTGTAAATTTTTTAGTTATAATCAATTTTTTTAATCTTATATTAATCGGTTGTATTTTATACTCATCAAACTACTTTGGTAAATAATATTACGAGGGACTAAATAGTACCTTTGGCAAATTTGCTAGGGTTAATGTCAACGCCTATAATTTTTGATGCTCCTCTTACTCTTGCTCCTTCGGCTACCTGCCCCATTCCAGTTCATTATTTTATGTCAGATTCAATTACTTCAGCACATGGGATCAACCATTATACAGTGCATGATTTTCTTAAGAGTTAATGGCATTACATGTCCTCAAAGTATGATATTCATTTTAAATTAATTTCTAAACTTTTAATTATTCTAATTTCATCTTTAAACTATGACTATCATTCTAAATTAGTCTTCAAACTTTTGAAAATTTCAATTTCATCCCCAAATTATGACCTTCATCCTAAATTAGTCCCCAAATTTTTTTAATATTCCAATTTTATCCCAAACTATACATATATACTAATCACATCTATTGTTAATAAAATTGTTAGGCCAAGTTATATTATTATATATTTGAATAAAAAATTAGGTTAAACTATGGTTGAAACTAATTATATATTTGGATGAAATTGGAAGATTCAAAAGTTTGGGGACTAATTTAAATGAGGGTTATAGTTTAAGAATGAAATTAGAATATTTAAAAGTTTAAAGACTTATTTAAAGTGAGAATTATAGTTTAGAAAAATATACTGCAATAACCTTTTTCTTAAAATAATGTACTATCTTAATTTTTGTTGGATTCTGAAAAAAGCAAACTGCCAAGGAAATCAGAAATGTAAGCATACATATACATACATACTTATATAATATATATAAGGACGGATATAGTATTTTATGTTTTTGGCAAACCGTTAAATTTTATAAAGAAACAAATTTATAAAATTTCAAAGGGTAAAAATATATTTTAATAAAAATATAAAAATTAAATATATGATAAATTTAAATTTTTAGTAAGCCGAATATCTATATCGGCTCCCCTTGATCCATCATTGTATATGTATGTATTTTGCATGCTTGAATAATTCAGAAACGTCCAAAAAAATGTATTCCTAGTAAAGTATAAGGGTATGTTTGTTTCACGGAATTTATTTTCAAATTTCGTGTTTGTTTCACGTAAAACGTTTTTCGGAAAATGTTTTCTAGTGTTTGGTTGGAGGAAAACTAGTTGGTCAGCGTAAAACATTTTTCTGGTCAACAAAATTTCCTTTTGTTTTTTGGAAATTAACTTATGGTCTGATTTTTCGTAAGTCATTTTCCGAACTTTTTACTTCAAAAAACAAATACTCAAAATAATTATATTTTATGAATCTAATATTAATAAAATATATTAATATCATTTCAATCAAAATATTAATTATTAAAATATTTAAAATATATTTATTAATATTTCTAATAATATAATATATTTTAATATTATAATAAATAATCAATTATATTATAATAATATAAGATATTATATTTTTATTTTAATAATATATCATAAATTATTAATAAAATTTATATTATTTATTAATTTCATAGAAATAATATTATTAAATTATTAATAATGAATAATATTATTTATATATTTAATATTAATATAATCTAATATATTTTAATAAAGATATTTAAAATATACTAATTAATATTTTTAAAATATATAATAATTACTTTAATAAATTAATATTTATTAATAAAATATAAAATAATATTTAATAATAAATAAATTATTTTAATATTTTAAAATAATAATATAAAGTTTTATGATAAATAATATTATTTATTGTATTTAATATTTGTAATAAATAATTTAAAAAACTCATCCACTAATGGAAAAAAGGTTTAAACAACACATTCTAAACATCGTAAAACGTTTTTCAGAAAATGTTTTTCAGAAAAATGTAATTAATTTTGCGGAAAACATTTTAATTCATTTTCTAGAATTTAATTTCTAAAAAAATCAATTACAACCAAACAAACATACCCTAAATTTCCATAAGTAAACTTGAGCTAATGTGAGTATGTGACAAAAGGGTCCAAAAACAATGAACAAGCTTTGCATTTAATGGTTCAACAAAAGCGACCGACTTACAGCGAGTCCCACGGCACCCAAGCCGAAGATTGCGACGCTTGATCCCGGTTGCACGTCCGCAACATTCCAAGCCGCCCCAACGCCTTGACCGATACATAAAATTAAGTCATGTCAATATGGTTGGAAAGAGTATTGACGGTAAGGCAAAGTTGGGTTCTCGGTGTGTATTATACCAGTTGAGACACCACAACTTAAGAGGCTCATCTTCTCGAGGGGGGCGTCGGAGTCGATCTTTACGACGCAGGCGGAATCGATGACGGTGTATTCGCTGAAGGTGGAGGTGTTGAGAAAATGAAAGATGGGGCTCCCGTCCTTGGTTGAAAACCTTGTTTTCCCATCATTTAGCATCACGCTTTTCAATGGGTTGACTCCAAACTTTTGGCAGAGATTCGTTTTCTGGTTTTTGCAGCAGGTACAGTTGCCACACTCGCCTTGGAAGATCGGGATCACATGGTCACCTTTTGTTATGTCTTCAACACCTTCCCCTACGCTCTCCACGATCCTGAAACCGAACATCATCATCAGAGACGCACGCATGATTTTATATTAATAATTTACTTTCTAGAAGGTGCATGTCACATACCCTGCAGCTTCATGGCCTAGAATTCGAGGGTATGCTCTCTGAGCTTCATTCTTCAAAACAAAAACAGAAAAAAAAACCATAGGGATCATCGGACTGAGTTCATCCATGAACGAGTCAAATATAATAGAAATGATGATCGGGTTTTCTTTTACCTCTCCTTTCCAAGCACTGAGATCCGTGTGACAAATTGAAGTGAAGAGAATCTTGAGCCTCACCTCCATTTTCTGAGTTGGAGCCACTCGAACATCTTGTATCACCAGAGGCTCTCCAGGACCCCATGCTACCGCCGCTGAAGCCAGAAACGGATTCAAAAATATTTTCAAGACAGTCAACATAAAAAAATCGGATTTTAATATGAACAATTATACTTACATCCGTCGCCGGATTCAGGGATCTCGGTGATGAGAGAAAACACAGATGAAAACTAACATTAAGAGTTCTTACCTTTGCAAGTGATGGTTTTCCCTGCAGTGTCGGTTGACTCAAATGAATAATTGTCAACGGCATCCATTTTTTCCCTTCTCTTAATGAACAAAGCCTGTTTCAGGACTGATACTTATAAGCTTAGAGCACATGGGTTGATGATTAAAAAACAATATATGCTTTGTGAGGAATTTTCTAATCCCAAAATTATTGCTTATTTTACTGGTTTCTAAATTTAAAGTTTTATAGATAAATATGTTACTTGGTCTAAATACATGCTGTGTTTAAATACATCACGTCAGATTTATTATATTATTATTATATTCAATCGAATATTATTACCAACAGGCTGCTAATCTAATATTCAAATCTTCGACTGCTGCTCTTAATTCTTAAATTTATGATATCCAGAATTAATAAACACCGGAAACCATTAAACAACAGTTGTGTCGGTAAGATTTATGTGTGTTTTATAAATTGTTTGGTAAATTTGGATAAACTTAAAAAATATTAAATAACATTCATAATTTAAGTTTAAACATTTACGTTAATATGATGTGTATACATCATTAATAACTGAAAAATAGATTTTATTTTATGGATGTTGTAAACAATGAAATCCAAATAAAAATTTCTTAATCATTTCAGTCCAAATCCCGATCATGTTAATGTTTAGAATAAACTAAATGTTTAGTATCTAAACTATTATTTTTTATTCGATTTTGTATTCAAACTTAAACTTTTAAATCATATCTAATATTTAGTTTAAGTTTTATTTTGGTGTCTGTTGTTAAAAAATTAAAGATGGTGTTGATGTGTTAACATATAGTAATGACACATCATCGTTAAAAAAATAGAAAGAATATCACATCAATAATTCTATTAATTTTTTTAACAAAGAGTGTCAAATTAAAACATAAACTAAAAGTTACAAAATATATAAAATTAAGATACTAAAATAGAATAAAAATAATAATTTAGGTACTAAATGCTAAATTTACCCTAATATTTATAGTCAATAAAGTGCAATTCACAACTTGGAAAAAAGAAAAGGATGGACAAATAAGGGCGTAGACTGGAGGCCAAATCTAACATATCAGTGTCCATATCAACCATCATTTCATTTATGAATAAAGAAAATTAAATTGAAAAATTATTTTATAATAAAATTATATAATATATAATTAATAGACATTTTTGTGAATAAATTTTTATGATTAAAATATGACATTTTTCATAATATTTTTAGTTATCGATTGAAAATGTGATTTTTTCATAATATCTTAGGTTTTAACAAAATATGTTATAAAAGTCAAGTTTTAAGTTGTGCCTTCTGACCAACCTAAAATATTATGTTTTTTATCACATTTTTATTCGCATCTATTTTTACCCTTTTTTAATCTTAAATTAGGTTACATTTCTTTATAATTTTACACTTTTTAATAACAAGGAATATTAAAATATAGTCGTATTCTTAAAAAAATAATTTGATATAATTAAGCATTTTTTATTATTTAATTAATGATTTAATGTTGTATTCCTTAAATTTTATTAATTTTATATATCTTAAAATTTTAATATAATTTCTAAAATTTATACCTGACATCAGAGATGGAATCGTAATATAGGTGGGAGGAGCAACAGCCCTCCAACTTGATGTTATAATTACTTTTTAAATCACTGGTAATTTTGAAACCATTACAATTAAGACATTGTTCCTCCCAATTTTTTTTATAATTATTTTTTGGATACTTTCAGTTTTAAAATTAATAAAATTAAACATTGACCCCAATTTTTTTGGTTTAATTACTTTTAAGACCTTTGAATTTTAAAATTAATGAAATTAAACCCTTAATCTCTTATTTTTTATAATTTAATTATTTTTTAGCCCTATTTGTTTTGAAGTTAAATAACTTGCCCCCTCATAGTTCAATTATGATTCGTTCCTATTTGATCTGAAATAAAATATTTTATCCATCCCTATTTTCAACTATTGAAACCTTCAAATAATTCATTATGAAATGATGAAGATGGAAGAATTTCATGCTAAGAGTTGGATTCAATAACGACCCCAGAGGGAGAGAAAACATGTGCCGGCCGTTCCGGGGCATTATGGGACCACTACATCTTCTTCTATTCACACGTAAATAAAAAAGGGATAAATATAATTTGGTACTTAAATATAAGCACATTGTGTTATTTATTTGTTTATTTATTAATTGAATATTTAATTTCTTTATATTATTAAATACTTATTATTTTTGTTTTGAATTATACATGGTTAATTTCAATTAGTTTACAGTTATAGTTTTGACGTTATTAATATTATTTTGAATAATAAGGAGGCTATGCCAAACTACATTAGAGATCGTTTGGGTGGCCCATGAATATCACGATCAAGGAGATTATGAAGAGCAGGAGGAGCTTCAGGGAAGTGACGAGGGAGACCATCAGTGGAGATAGCAGCTTTGGCGAGGTGGTCGGCAATCAAGTTGCTCTCTCGTTTAATGAGTTTAAAGTCCAAGGTCCAATTCCGAAGGAAAAGCTGGGCGATCATGAGCACAGGGGGCAAGGAGGACGCCATAGAAGTAGGTGCAGTGAGCAAGTTATAAGCATCAGAATTATCTGCTTTGACGTTATTTAATTAAAGGATAATGTAGATTACAAATCAAAAGTTAAGTATTGAAATTTCACTACCTAGGTGTATTTTGGTAATTTAATCCTCTCAAAGATATTTTAATTATTTAAAGTATTTAGGCCTTCCTTAGTCCTACTATCTCATTTTTAATCATCCATCATCTCCTCAAATATTTTAGAAGTCAAATTTTGACTTTTTAAGTATAGGGTACTGATACCAGACAAAAGGTATCGATATTCAAATATAAGGATATCGATAATGATATATTACAATTCAATTTTAATGATAATATTGATACCTAAAACTTAGAATCGATACAAAAGGGACATTATCGATACCTCAAGCATATGCATCGATACTCCAAATACAATTTGCCTAGATTTTAACTCGATTTCATACAATATCAATACCTAAAGAATGATATTGATATCAAAATCCAAAAATAACTATTTTGAGCAGGGTCATTTAAAATTTTTAATGACCATTTTTTAAAATCCAATAAGTTTAATGATCATTTTATAACTTTTAAAGTTTAAGTGCTCGAAAGATCATCTTGTATAGTTTAGTGACTATTAGTGTATTTTACTCAAAAGACGTTTAGCTTAATCTACTACTATCTTCTTCCTTTTCTTGTCATTTTCTCCTAAAAGAGCTATATGAAATGTGTTCCATCTTTCTCAATCAAGTGTATAGAATGATGAAATATTATGTTAATATTAGAGAATGAGACCCATCTTATGATCACACTATAATGAATAAAATATAATAAATTTATTCTATTTAGTACTATTTATTTTTATCAATTACTACTAATATTTTTATTTTGTAGCTATATTATTTTCAACCATTATTATTTTTAATTAATCATTGGTATCTAATCTATTAACATAATAATCTAAATAGAGTTTTATAGAGTATATGTTATGAGAGTGATCCTCCTAACCCAGTTTACTTTATTCGTAAACGTCAGAATTCGAACCATCGATCTTGCTTAATAAATCTAGTGTCTTATCCCACTAGATCAATTGATTGTTGGTTTATTTTTCTTCTTTGACTCGACTTTAAAGCATTTTTTAATTAATCACCTATATCATGTCTATTGATCCTCTAATCCATATTGAATTTTACAGAAGTCTATTATGGGGTGACCCTCCTGTCTCATTTTGCTCTATTTACAAACGTTAGATTTCGAATACCTAACCTTGTTTAAAAATATCTAATGTCTTATCTTACTATACCAATCAGTTGATGTTAATTCTTGCCTCTTTGTTGCAAAAGTAAGAGACCACGTGTTGCAAAGGTCTAACCGGTTGCTGTTACTTCAAGGAATTTTACTTGCCTCTTTGTTGCAAAAGTAAGAGACCACGCGTTGCAAAGCTTTGCAACTATTCAATGTTTAACTAAGTCATTATGAAATGGTCATTAAACTTATGTTAAGATATGGAGTCAATAGCGAGGGGCTGCCATCTAGAGGGCGAGAAATATATATGCCGTCTGTTCCAAGGCATTATGGGAGCGCTGCATTATTGCGTGGAAAAGATCATATCAAGGAAAATAATTTTTTTAAATTGTATTACTATATTTGATTTACGAAAAAGATCATTACACATTATATTTTATTACTAACAATAATATTTTTGGTTAAAATGATGAGAATATAATTACACTTCTAAATTCTTAGGTATCGTACTTTTTTACCATTTCGACAGAATACCTCTAATATAATGAGTAATTTTCACCTGAATATATCGCGATTCCATCTTATTCTTATTTTTTGTTCCCTTTGGGTTTCCCAAGTTTTTGTCTCGACTAATTCGAACCGACCTATGTCGTACACCTGACTTTAGTGAGTGAGTCTCCGAGTGGAGACTTTTTGCTTACACAAAACCACGAACCCTAGACATGTTTAGGTAATATCAAATTGCTTACCACTTGAACCAATCTCATTGGTGAATCTGTCACAATTTTTATTCTTTGTGTTTTATTCAAAATCATATAATAATATACAAAGAGTTTGATTTAGTAAAATATTAATAAATTTAAGTAATTAAAAGTATTTTATATTTTTGATATTTAATATACTAATAATTTATAATTTTATGAGGTGAAAATGATATTATTCTAAAAAAAAGTAATTATTAAAAATAATATCTAACTTTGAGTTATTAAAAAAGAATCTTATACATTAAAAAATAATATCTTTGTTCACTTGAAACCACAACATTATTCTTATTCATATTATATTATATTTTATATAAATAAATATGAAAATTATTTAAAAATATAAGTTTGATTTACTAATTATATTAATTATATGTTAAATGTATCTTTTCTCAAAAGTGTGTAGTTATTAAAATATTTTTATGAGTTTTTATTCAAATGTTTATAATTTAATATTAGAGTTTAACTTAATGAAAGAACATATATTAAAAGGATATTTTGATAAAATAAATATTCAAGTAATCTTATAATTCTCGGACTAAACACCCTTTATTCACTACTTAAACAAAAAGTTAAATATAATTTTTAGTACCTAATTTTAGTATTTATGTATAATATGGTATTTAATTGCTTTTTTATGTGAAATTAGATACTTAATTTTTCTTTGGTTTTGTTATGTATCTAATATTTTCTTTTAGGTATAATTATAAAATTAACTTTAACGTTTGCACAAATAATTATATTACTACCTTTTTTGGAAATATTTTAGTCCTAATATTTTAATTTTTGGTCAAAATAGAAACTATTGCATGAAAACCGTTAGTTGTCTAACAATCAACATATATTACTGATGTGACATTTTTACACGAGTTCAATTGTCGATACGGAATGTGTCATGTCATCCAAAGTGACATGACATATGTCATATCAATAATTGAACACTTGGAAATTCTACGTCATCAACATGTGTTGATGTTATTTGTTAGTTAACTAACGATTTTCATCCAACAATGTCTATTTTGACAAAAAAAATTGAAACGTTTGAAGATATTGCTACAAATTCAAAAATTAACCGTTAAAATTCTAAGCATGAAAAAAAAAATATTAGATACCCAATTCTACCACTAAAATAATTCCACCCAAAAAAGTGAACTACCTAATTACAACATTAGAAGAATTAAATACCTAAGTACACTATAAAAAAGTTAATATGTAATTACACATAAATACCAAGATTAAATACCGAAAGTTATATTTACCTAAAAACTAAACAAATATAAATAGTATATAAATATGAATCCACCTAATGTTTCCACCCACATTTAATACTATTGTACGCTAGCGATGAATCTTATGCTGAATAAAATTCTTTTTTTCCTTTATCGACTTGGATTATGTATAAGCTAATATCTATTTAAAAAACACTTTCAATCATTTAACATTGAATGTTTATACCCCTAGCATCCATGACGCTCGAATTCAAGACTACGAAGAATAACAACATTTCTTTTATCACCGAGATTGCTTAATTCGCATTAAAATTCTACTATTTTTGTTCTACACTCTTTTTCAATTTCTTTGTTGTTTAAAAAGTTACACTGTCAAAGGGTATGAACAAAATACTTTGAATATCTATTTTTATTAAAAAAATAACTTTAAATAATTATTTTAATTAAAAACACTTAAACTATTTAAATGAGAAAGATAATATATGTTAAATAATTATTTGTGATATAAGTCTAATATTCATTATCACTCAAATATATAAAGTGAAACCCAGAACCCTGATGACATTGACATATCTGATGATCCATTTGTTTTCTGTTATTCCAATTGATACTCACGGCTGTTTTATAAATACATGTGCAGCTTTATATTGACTTGCAATATTAAATTTGGTTTGTTGAACTTAAACCCTCTATTATATTATTATTATTTACCAATAACCACGTCAGCCTTAGCTCACGGTCACATGCACTTTTGCGCTATATTATTATTCTTTACCTGATTTTTTAAATTATATGTATTTAATCAATTTAATTTAAATAAAAATTATTTTTATAATTGAACATCATTTCATTCATTTAGATGTAAATAACATCCTATAGTACAATATTAATGAACAATCAGGATGTTAACACTCGAACAACATTAAAAAAAATTGCATGTGTACGCTTATTGAGCAAGATTATGAGTCGTTGCATTTCCACTCCGATTCACATACCGGCGCCTTACATTATTGAACTCATTCACTAAGCTACGAGTCTCTTGAAGATAATGTTTCACAACGAAGAAATTGGGTCGTGAATAGGTTAAGCAGATTACTATATTGATTGCGTCACCCTCCAAAATGATCGATTTTCATTGGTGATTTTTTAACAAGACCAAGCCCTTCAATGAACGTTTAAACTTCAACAAGCTCTGCAACTAATAATCACTCGTCTCGTCACGCATAACCCGTAGTCATCGTCTCATTATTATCACGATCAAAGACTCCAATGATATCTTTTCGAGTTTTGCTCGATCCTTTTAATTTATATTATTTCTCACAACGTTAAAATTTAAGCTATTAACATTATTTAAGCGACATATTGTCTCATCCACGAAACCAAATAATCGTCAATCTTTATCTAATTTATCTTAATTGTGTTCACTACTAAAGCGTAAAGCGTAAACATATTCCATGATTTCTGTTCTTTCTTCTTTCAAAGTTAACATATAGCAGACAAAGATTAATAAATTACGGAGTTGTCTGTGACCGATTACGTATCCATTACGGATAGGTACAATAAGTAAAATAAATATGTTTACTAGTATTAAATTTTTTAGTCTAATTAAGCATACGGATTTGGTTTAAAGATGTAATTTTATTTTTTTAATCTAATCATGTATTTAATTTATCTTTCTAAATTCAATTAGTACTTAAATTGAAGTTTTTGATTTAGATTGATACTTACAATAAATAAATAAATAATTTGAACTATGAAGCTTGTTATATCTTCCACCGTACTCTACTATTTCCAAGGAGTTTTATCTGAAAATCACTCATAAAGTCCAATAACAAATAATATATACGGTCCAATGGATATTGGATCATGGAATAAACATATTAGCCTTGAAATATTCACGATCTTATATCCAACTCAACTAAAGGATAACTATATAACTATCAAATATACATACGAGATATATAATAAAATACCTCCTGAAATTCTGTGAAGCTCTCTTTTTTTCCTCCAGGAGGGTGGGAACCAGCTCTACCCCTTTACATCTGGACCATAGTCGACCGATAGATCTTCGTATAAATCAGAAAAGGTGAACCGTAAATCATTGACTTAACCACTTATTTTTTTTCATTATCTAAACAATCATACACCGGAACCTTACCCGTTGTACATCAATATTATTACAGTGAGCAGGGATGGAGCCAGGATTCCAACTTGGGAGATAAAGTATAACTAGTAATAAAAAATAAGGGGAGCAAAGTGTAATTAACCATAGAAAATGAGGAGGGAAAATTAAAAATAAACTAAAATTAAGAGCTCTAATTTAGAACCTACCCATATATATTTTTAATAATAAAAAATAGGGGACAATGGCCACTGGTAGGAGTGAGTATTCGATTGAGTCAAATTGAGTAAAAAAATTTCGAGTTGATGAGTTATATTTTACAACTAGAACTTGACTTGAAATTTTTTTGAGTCGAGTTGAGTTTGTGAAATTAGAGCCGGGTTGTTCGAGTTTTTATACAAATTTAATTATAATTATTTATAGTAATATGGTACAAATTTGTTTCAATTTATCAACTTTCTATAACCATATAAGATATATATATATATATATATATATATATATATATATATATATATTTCTTCATATTCTTTTCATATTATAATGTTATTTAATAAATCAAATACAATATGAATTTATAAAAAAATATTTATAATATTAATTTCAAAGAATATATTTTGAGAGTAAACTATTGATAGGAGTAGAAGGGAGTGAGAAATTGATGAGAATAAAGAACAAACTTAAAATAAAGAATGAACTGAAGAAATAAGGAAATCATGTAAGATTGAGGAACTAAATTGAAAATTATGAAAAAAATATCTAAAAGAGAAATTAAAAGTACATATGTATTTTATAATGGTTTAGGAGCATGTGGTTTAAATTTGGTTAAAAAAACTTAAAACGAAGGAAAAATTGAAGGAATAAGCAAATCAGAGACTAAATCGTAAAACTATCAAAATATTTTTTTGATTTTCAAATGACTCGGAATTTTCAAATCCCAAATCCGATAATTTGAATTGATTCGAATAACTCGACTTGAATAATTCAAAATTAAATATATATATATATATATTAATTTTTCAAATTGAGTCGAGTTTTGCTCACCTCTAACCTCTAAGACGAGACATAACTTCGTTCCTGACAATGAGCCTGTATCTTTCTCTCACCATAAAAAATCAGTTAGATAACAAAAAAAAAATCCAAACATAAAAAGAAAAAGAAACAAAACTTTTTGAGCCCTAAACAATCCACACCAAAAATAATTCATAGATAATTTAAATTGTAAGACATTTGAACCATCCAAATTTGTCTTTACTCTTTACCCCATGCTTGAACTCAAACTTGAATGGAGTGTTATTTCTTTTATAAATAACAAATATAAACTTTAAGAAATAAAAATCAAGAAGAGTGAGATTCATCGTTTAGATATTTTGTAAAAATTGGAGTTTGACAGTCCTACTTTATAATTTAAACTTCAATCTATATGATAGTTGAATAAAATAATTTAACATATAGTTTAAGATTATTTGATTATAGTATTTATACTTTTATTTTTCAATTAATTAATAATACATATTTAAATATTATTCCATCCATTTTCTTTAAAAAAACAACTTATAGTAATGTATATATTATTATGCTTTGATTTTTCTTGGTGAAAACCAATCAAATAAAATTATTCAATTAGAATAAAAATATAATCTCAATTACAATATTACATATAATCAAGGTTATTTTCTATTTGTTGTTTGAATCAATTCTAAATATAGATTTACTTCATTTAAATTTTGTTATAATTTTATAAGTGGTTTGTTTCCTTCTAAAAATATTAAGCTACATACCTTTAACTTCGTTATAATTTTATATACCTCTTTTGAGTTCAAGCCTTTTCGAGTTTGAATTTTATTCAAACTTAGCTTTTCCTTGGTTTTTTCGAGCTCAAACTCATTTTACCACCATTACTTGATATTAAGACTTCAGCCAGCAATGTTGAACATAACCCGAAACCTCAAATCCGAACCCTACGTAGAAGAAAGAGGACAGGCAAGAGTTATAGAAAGACCACACCCCCATGTTTCCAATTTCATTTAGACAAGGACATCTGAAATAAACATTTTTCCAGACTTCATAGGAACTATATTTTCACTTTCTTCAGAAAACACCAAATGCACAAATATCTATCTAATTCAATTGATGATCATAAATTTGTAAACTTCACTGGCTGACTGCTCGGCTTCCAAGTGCAGACAGGGAGTAGTTTCATGGTAATCCTAAAGAAAGCCCTCAACCCCACGGCCTGCACGAACCTCCCGATAAATCATGAGTGCTTCTTCCATTACTTGAGCTTGAGCCAGCAACTGAGCTCTTTTCCTTCCTGAAGGATGCGTGGACAGATAATCTTGCATTGTTGAATCCCCTGCAACCTTTCCTAACTTCTCAAACACTTTGGGAGCAACTTGAGGATCGTAGCCAGCAGATGCAAGCAACAACAGTCCAATGTAATCAGCTTCAAGTTCCATCCTGTCAGAGATCACATAAGGGTTAAGTACTGAGAACGACGGAAAGAACGAAGGGATCTATCTTTCATCAGTCCTCTTGCCATATTTCTACATTTAAGCACAATTAAACAACACTTGAACACATTTGTGGTTAGTGTCAAATAGAAGAAAATCTGGGTTACAGCATGGACCGGAACTGTTAGGACATGCCCAAGAGCTTTAGCGATTCACATTTGAGGGATAAGGGAAACCCCAAACCAGAAACAATTTAAACTTTCTCAAAGCCGAAAAAGGAACTCGTAAAGGCAAGGAAATTTTATTAATAAGAGAAAAGGTTCATAGCCATGAGTCCAGAATCTACAGAAAACATCACTTTGAATCTCTTAAGCAACAGTTTATCCAGTGGATTAGGATCAATATCAAGTACGTTTATCGGTACCGACTTCTTAGTTCTCACATCTCACTGCCCAATGAAGGGGTATGTTATAAAGAAGATAATGATGATAAAATCAAACGCAAAAGTCGTCATCACAACTCTCAAACTCTATCTCGCAGTAACCGATTTACAGGAAGGAATCTAATAAGTCTGCAAAAGATTGTAGTTGCTCTGCAATTAACATTGCAGAATGCATACCTTGGAAGAACTAAACCGGATCATATATTGAAACTAAAAAATGATTAAAGAAAACTACAGATGAGTCCATCTATTGCGACAGATAACGAGATCATGAATTCTGTGTGTTCCAATTCTAGCATCAAACTTATATCTGTGTGCATACAGTACACACGCTGCACATGAAAAATCTATTAAATTTAAAGTATAAAACCTGTATAACTAAGGCCACTCATTTATACTTTCCGGAAACACAGTGTTCTACCAAGAAACCGCTTGATACAATCAAACCATTTGATGGCAACAAAATTTCAGAGAGAACTCAATGTTTTCTCAATCCTAGAAAAACTCCAATTCGGTTTTTGTACAATATAATTCAATTGACATAGATACCTCCGAGAGAAGGGGAGCCTCAAGAGGAGTGCAGACATTGTGCTGGCCAAATCAGGCATAATGAACTGATAAAGAATCAATTGTAGGATGGAAAACCACAGATTCTTCGTAATTGATTCAGCTATATGTCGAGCCACCGCATGTCCAACCTAACAGATAAACACAACTAAGAAGACATCATTCCCATATCCATAAAAGAAAAATGACAGCATGAAGTAATAAGCAATATGAGCTTGTATATATATATATATACCTCATGTCCAATTATAGTTGCTATCTCGGGATCACTTCTAAAATGCTCAAGCAACCCTGTGAACACCACAATCTTCCCACCAGGCAAACACATAGCATTGACAACAGGTTCTTTGATAACCAGAACTTCCCAATTCAAGCCTGTTAAATGAGATGTTGTCGGCTGTGATGATCCTCCCTCTTGATTTTTCTTCCTACTTTTCTGAACCCACTTATCATCGATAATCTCATCTTCACGGGACCAGTTCATCCCCACGTCTCCTTTCCTCAAACTCGTCACTGTATCATGTACAAACTCATGGCCGAGCGAACTCTCCGGCGACCCATACTCCAAATCGGTCGCTATCCGATCATGGCTCAACCCTCTTTGCAACGAATCGATAATATCTTTAGCTATCAGCCTCACTCTAACGCTTTCCGGGTGTACAGCAGGCAATATCTTTCCCTTGTAAGCCGCTTTCAGCTTCTCAAATTGAGACTCCCCCATCTTTTTCTCCGTTTCTTTAGACAAGAGCACTAAATGTTTTCGCTTTGTATAAGGAACAGTTTCTAAATTGCCAAAATATACAGTAATTAAAAACCCTGAACCGATCAAGACAACAATCAACGCATTCCTTGGATTCTTGATCCACCATTGCGGACCCCGTCGCCGGAAATGTTGAACACTGTATCGATCGACGTAGTAAAATCTCTTTGCGCCGTTAAGAAGGGGATCGTAACAATGATTATTAGAAACTCCTAGTCTTCGCGAGAAAGAAGAATATGAAAATAACCCAGAAAAGTTCGATGAAATCGAAGACCCGAGGTTCTGGGAGATTATTGAAGACGAATCTCGAATCGGAGATCTGAAAATAGGCCCTGGACTGAAACTCTGGCGCAATGTATTAGCGGCAAGCTTCGCCCTTCTGCAGTATGCCATGATGTTGGAAAATAGTATTAGGCCAACGGTGGTTTAAGAGCGAGAACCGCCGGCTTGTACACCGGAAAAAATGGAAGAAAATTTGCGAATACGATGAGGTAAAAAGCACAATTGTTCAATGACAAAAGAAGCGGTACAGTTCTGGTGCTTTCTCGCACTCGGAATTCATATGAATATAGTAGGTAAAGTACATCCGTGGTCACCAATTTTGGATTTGGTTCTATTTTGATCATACAACTTTAAAAGTATCTTTATTGGTCATTAATATTTTAAAAGTTTTATGTTTTAGTCCTTCATAGTTAATGTTTTAACGGGACAATGATATTTACTTTGTTTTACTTGTATGGTAATATATTTAGATTTTAATATTTATATATTTTATTAAATTGTTGTTGATGGTAATAATATGTGATATATTAGTTGTAGGCCTTCTTATTTAAGTGGTAAGCATATCTCAAGGTCGACGTCTTGTGTTTGCAGAAAATCCTTATTAAGAGATTCATTCATCAAAATCAGATGAACGATGCGAATCAGTCTAAATTAATCAAACGAAACATTGAAAATGGAAGGATAACCATAAAATAAATGATGAATAATATCGAGGGAAGAAAAGAGAGAGGAAAGAGAAGAAAGAGACGAAGAAGACTTCCTCTCTCGTTATGCTTTTGACCCTTAGTACGTATGAGTATTAAGTTCAGGGTAGATGTCAATTTTAGAGTAATGATTGTTATTTGTAAGTAAATAAAATAAATTCGTCAGACTATCATAAAGTTTGTTAGTGATGAATTTGACAGTAATCAAATCAAAGGCTACAATTATTCTCCTTCGGAGGGTTCTTAAGATTTTGAAGGGTAGATACTACAATTAATCTTAATTCCAGATAAATTAATAATAAATTTAATCTTATACATTTATAAAGTCTATCAATTTGATCTTAATTTTAAAAATTTAATTTTATTAATATTAAAAATATAAAATTTCAAGAAAAAAAATAAAACTTACTAAAATCTTTTAAAATTTTATTAGTTGGGTACATATCCTAGGTACTGAGAAGGTTCATAAACAATTTCTCGAATTGCACGGTCCTCCATTCATATCTCATACATCTAATAAAACATAATATAGGGTAAACTAAGTGTTTAGTTTCTAAAGTATTAATTTTGATTCGTTTTTATACCTAAACTTTCATTTTTTTCATAATCACACCTAACGTTTAGTTTTTGTTTCATTTATATATAACTCGAATATTTTAATAATTATGAGATTGATTTTCAAGTTTGATACCCACAGAGAGGAATTCTACCTCGTTGTTTTTACTAAATTGAAGATGTCTAAGCCACACCTATAAAAATTTCTTAAAGTGTGGAGTTACCTCCACAATACTTGTGGTGCATTTTCGTAGACTGAGTTGTTTTATCTAAATCGATGGCGTTGAGATGCCTCTACTCCTCTATAAACTCTCTTTGATACCCACTAATAAAATTGAGATGCCTTCGTCCTAGCAATATAAATTACTTCATTGTCACTTTATTATAAGAAATAGATAAGCCTCCACACAAAAGCATTGAGATACGTACGCATAACTCTTGATATTATACCAGAGAGAGTTGCCTCCAATCTAGTTGTCACACCTCTATAGATCCTCTAAAGAGTGTTAGGATAGCTTCTCTTAGCGATAGGAATTATTCTATTGCTATTATAAGTCTGGAGACAACTTTTTCCCGAGCAAGGGGGACGTAGACCTCCATGTTGTTTTTACCAAGGAAAAGATACCTTCACCCTACCAGCCTATTCCAAGGATGTTGAGTTGCGTCTTCCTTGGTCGAGAATACGAAGGTGGCCACACCGACCAAATGGAATAGAGACGCTTCCGTTAAAGTCACCTCTAGATAATCCGGAAATAATCCCACCAAAAGCGTTGAGAATCCTCAACATGGAATACATATAGGCTTGAAACTGACCCCATACGATTTTATTAAGATATTCCAAAAACGTTGAGAATTCTCCGCAAGAAAAACACAAACATGCTTGAAAATAACTCCATCTGAATAAATTGAAATGTACCATCAGTTGAGCATCCTTCGCGGGCAAGATACACGAGCCCAGGAACAACTCCGCCCAATTCAATTAGTATAACCCCTACAACGTTGAGAGTTCTCTGCGTCTCTGAAATATCTCCGCCAAACTTCATGCGTCCATTTAATTTTAAGAAAACGATATGTTGGAATTACAGATTTGGAGAACTTCATAAAACCATCAAACAACCCTTGTAAAAGTTGACTACTTCAATTACAAGTATAGAATTTGGACTGATAAGTGATGGAAATGGCTAAACATTCATTAATTCTTTCGAAGTTGGGCTTCACTTGATTACTTCGCCATGTTATTTGTTTACCAAATAAGTAAAAGTTCAATGCTTTGCTTAGCATGGCTAATCCATATAAGCTTGAAGGTGATAAACTTTTCTCCAAAACCCTTGTTTTCTGCCATGGCTAATCCATATAAACACGAGCTCGTTACTGGTATTACAATCCAACGGGCAAAGGATTAATTGAAGTGAACATATTAGATTAAAAGAAACTTAATTCCAGATGGACAACTTCAAACATGAATATGAAAATAGAGAAATTCAATTAATGAATTAAAATTCCAAAACTTTTTACATATACAGAATGGGTTACGAACTTGTGGTAAAACTAGTGGGAAACAAGGGTCTCGAAGCAGTGAAGGCCGTCGAGCTCAGGAGCGAATCGGGGAGCAGCAGCCCTCTGCTTCTTCTCAACGTTTCCTTGTTGCTTTTTCTTCATGTCTTGTTCAGACACCAGTCTGCTAATCCCATCTTTATGAGTTGTAGAAGAAGCAAAGAAAGGCCTGAACGCCTGTCCCAATAACTCAGCACACAAAGCATCAAAGGAGCTGAAGATTGAGTTCATGATTTTCGATTTTGTGAGGATTGTTGTGCAAGATGATGATGTTTGTTTGACTGGTGAGAGGTATATATAGCATAGGGAGAGCAAACAAGTCTTTGATTTGTGGAAAGGTGAGGTGAATTGGCTTGCCTTCTAAGTTGTTTCAGGCGTCAGAATCTGGCCGACTCCATTATTCAAAAACGTGTAAGTTACGTCCTAGTTGGGGGAAGAGAGGTGGGCGGCTTTGTGTATTTTGACCACACCACAATTACGAGAAATTATTATATCATCTGATTTATCATATTATTTTTGATCTTAATTAATAAAATTTATTTATTTTAAAATAATTATTTTAATTTTTTTTTAAAATAATTACTCATCTATGTAAGGAAAACAAAATGAGGATTCACTTTAAAAAAAATAAGACAGATTATATTGATTATGATCACGAATAATATAATAAATCACATCTATTTAATAATTTTTTTTATTATTAAAAATAATATAATATTGATATCGCATGATGACTTTTACAACATGAAACAATCATACATGCGACTTTTCAAAAAAATTTAACCGGTGTTTTAAAAAAAAAAAAGTTATCTTCTTATCCACCATAAACCCAAGAGAGTTACAGAGTTCAGCAGTATAATAGCCGATGGCCGGAAATCATTCCGACTGATGGAATATTAAAATGGATCTGAAATCATCTTTATTCCCACATCAACTGCAAAAAGAATCCATCAGATGGGAAGCCCAATCTTTTATTTTATTCGGCTTTGGGCTCAACTTGAGAGGGCAACCACTTGGGACTGTTTTGGATAAGAGGAGGTTGCCAAATTGCCATTTAATAAACTCAAATCTGGAATCTTCGCAACGCATGTCCCAAGCAATCACACCAGCATCAACATATCTACTCCCTCTCCTTTCAACACGGCTGGCCGACCCCACCTCCCCTGTAAGAAAAGTGTCTAATCGAGTTAAAAAAAATATCAATTTTTAAATTAATTAGATGTTATATTATATGATAAACTACGAATTTAATAATCTAACTATTCATGTGATTTAGTTTTAATTATTCAATTTTTAAATTATATTCAACGTTATATTTTAATTTTATTTCAATTATTTATCATTAAAAAATTAAAAAAATAATTACGTGATATTTTTATTTTTTAATGATGACTAGCTATGATCTTATTGTAACATGTCAAGATTATTATTATCATTTTAACCATGAATAATTAAAATAAAATTAAATATTATATTATATTATATAATTTTAAAAAAATAATTAAATGATGAAAAAATGGCAAATAATTGAATAACTAAGGATGGTCTGGTCAAAGTAGACGAAGCCGCTCACCTCCCTTCCCCCACAAAGACCTGACTGACTCACACGTTTTTGAAGAAGGAAGTCGCACGCTGAAACAACTTGGAAGGCAAGCCAATTGACCTTACCTTTCTACAAATCAAAGACCTGTTTGCTCTCTCTATATATACCGCCTTTGCTCACTCACCAATCAAACAAACATCATCATCTTCCACAACAATCCTCTCAAAATCGAAAATCATGAACTCAATCTTCAGCTCCTTTGATGCTCTGTGTGCTGAGTTCTTGGGACAGGCGCTCAAACCTTTCTTTGCTTCTTCTACAACTCATAAAGATGGGATTAGCAGACTGGTGTCTGAACAAGACATGAAGAAAAAGCAACAAGGAAACGTTGAGAAGAAGAATAGGGCTGCTGCTCCCCGATTCGCTCCTGAGCTCGACGGCCTTCACTGCTTCGAGACCCTTGTTTCCCACTAGCGCACGATCCGAGTCCGATTGTCCGAAGCCGAGGGGCTTGTAACCTTTGTTAGCACAAGTTCGTAACACATACTGTATATGTAAAAGATTTGGAACTTTAATTCATTAATCGAAATTCTTCATTTTTATATTCATGTTTGAAGTTGTTCATCTGGAAATGGCTATTAATCATAGGTGGTACATAGAACACTGTTGCAAATACACTATCAATTGCAGTTAAAGAGAGTGATCACTTTACAATCTTAAAGATTTTCACTTTCTTTTTCCAGGAAATGAGAATATGTGCAGGAATTAGTTTAATATCATCAGTACCAACTGTCCCGAGACATTGATAGGCAAAAATCGGGGCAGACGACGTCTGTTTGAACCACGGCATCGATTGAACATAGACAAATATATTACAATCAGGTTGGTTTGTTGGTGGTTATGGAGTTTCAGAAACTAGTATGCCAGATAGCTCCGTCGCCTTCCCCGCATTGCCGGTGCACCTCCTGCATTCTCTCCACAGACTTACAAATGCCACTGCAGCTCCAATCGAATGATGCAGCACAAGGATTCCCTGCTTGAGCTTTCCACTCACAATCTATCGACATCATAAACTAGTTTAAGGAGTTGATATTCGACTATGAAATGAAATGGAATCGACGTCTTACCAGGGGCAGTACCACAGCAAAGACTTCGATCATCGATGTGCTCAACATCGAGACCAATAAACCATGAACCGAGAGAGACGTCTTCATTTGCATATCTATGAAGTATATGCCTAGATAGAAAAATCAAGCATATAATCAACACCATCAATAAGAAAAAAGGTCTGAACATGAAAGATATTACTGCAAAAGGCTTTACCGGTTGACCGAGATATAGGTGGCTAAGTCTTTAGAGATTGCATATATTTGTCCAGTTGCATGCCTAAAATACTTGTTTCCCTCCTCGCCGAATTTCCAATATTCCGGCTCATGGTACTTAACGAGTCTATAAACGAAAGCGATAGGTAACTATAGCGGGAGAAAAGAAAACACAAATGATGTCGGACAAGTTTATGAAACTTAATTCTTACTTCTGAGCCAGAACAGGACCAGATTTCATGCAACCGATATAAACCCGAGGTTTCGATCTGTGACGGGCCAGTGTAGAACCAATCATACCTACACAGTGTTCCATATCAATTTAGTAACCCTGACACAGATCTCTTCAAGACTACGAATGAAAGCCGCTGAGAAACTTAATGTGGAAACACTAACCCAGATTTACATGTACATCATCGTCGACTTTAATATAGAAGTCGGCATCCCACTTAGCAACAGCTGTGGAGAAGTATATTTGGGTTTTCGATGACAATTCATGGTAACCTTCAACATGGTTCTGCCGAACAAAGAGCGATTCTATGTAAACTGTAAGCATCACACAAACTGAGGATCCAAAACAAGAATAGAGGAGCATACCAGGCGCAAAAAATCCTTGTGTTGCTCTTCTTCAGCATCAACAGCACGATCCAAGACACCTCCTGGGGTTGGACTGAGTACCACAGATTCAACGAGTTTCGTCAAAACTATAATTCTAAGAAATTTAAACACTTCAAAAATTTAATTAAGTTTACCCATGTCCTATGACGAATCGCATTATAATCCCCTTCTCTTTCTCCAACCTCTTTAATTCCTCCCCTGAGAACAATAACTTGAAACGATAAATAATGGACTCAATACCAGAGCATGGCTGATAGAATGCTAAAAGGGTATCGAATCAAACCTTGAGGCATCCATGTTTCCCTGATCGAATCCCTTCGTTTTCTACTGCTGAATGCAGTAATAATTCCCATAACAAAGAAAAATTTTGGGCGCTCCGTCAGGCTCTCAACTCCTGATTTTGTAACCATCGGAGATCCTTCCTCGTTATCTGCTTTGGCAGCTCTAGCTGCAGCTAGCTGCATCTCCAATGATGAGATAGTTTTGTCTAATTTCCTGAAAGTACGAATCATGCAAACCATCTTAAGTTCTAGACATCTTAGATGTCCAAAGAGTTAGATTCGTAAAACCATATGTATGTATGCATGTATGCATGTGTATGTATAGTAAATCAAGAACTCAGTAAGATAAAGAATCTTACATGATTACATCATGAGTTTGTGAAACTTGAGAAAGAATATCACCAGCCTGAACAGAAGCTTCCTGTTATAATATATCTAAACAATATCGTAAAAATTCTTCAAATGCAGTATAGCTTAGAACTACTTTGTACTCTAAACTAACCTTATGACAATCAACTACGGGATGAACTTCTTTTCTCTGGTGTTTCTGTACCGGAGAAGACTCCTCATTCATTGTGATCAGATCAGAATCATCCCAAAATCTGTAAGAAATGCAATGCACAACGAATCAATGCACACTTGCATACAAAACTATCACTAACAAGAAAATGCAACGGCGTAAAGAATTATGAAATGCAGACCACTGATAAAAGGGAAGCTAGGATTGAATACCACCTTCATCACGGATTGAACTAAAGAGATAGATTCCTAATATCTACATCGATTGTCCTTTTGAAATCTACCAAATAGTAAATACTAGAATCACAAGAAGTTTCAAAGCCAAAAGCATGTTCCTAGCTTTTGATCCAGAGTATAAAATCAACTTTTCCAACAATTCAGCTCTCAAGCACAAAGTACAGAGTCTCATACTTGAGAAGCTAATAAGCTTGTTGTACTTCTTGAGTTATTCCTCCACCTAATGAAACCTCTGGACGCGCTATCCAGCCAATCAATGTACTCTCCGGCCAGCCACTATCTCTTGACAAGAATATCGACAAACCCAAGCGATCTATCAAGACCAAATTTACTGACCGGTGGCTACATTTATACATTCTGTTTGGCTTACGGGTCATGATCCTAGGTCTAACACCAGCATGCACAAGGAATCAATATATAAACCCCTACACCAGGCAAGAGGAAGGATCTTCTTCCTCTTCTTCACCTTCCTCATGGACTCCCACTCGGACTTTTCTCATTCGTATCTCCATTCGCTGCTAATATCACCGGCTACGGCTCTTTGTCCAAACCAGAAGGGTGAACCTCTTACAACAGCAACAAAGAGCCACAACCTATTTGTTATCATCAACAAAGGTGAAACTCAAATTTGATTAATCTCGCAATTTCCCTTTGTCATGCATTACTAAATCTGCTTCACCCTCCATAAGATAGTACCGTACGATGGAACCCACGTTGCAAGCTTAACTAAGACCTTCAAATCTTGCCAGTGTCCTATCAACTAAATGCATTCCCATGAATAAGTTTAAAACCAGGCAAAATCATTGCATGATCCACCTAATACCAAAAAAAAATTACTGGAAACTAATTTCAACAATTGGATCCATAAATCCAGCAATCTCAGTGCCAGATCTATCCAGAGAGGAGCATTTTGCTTGGTAATTCTACATGTAATGCAGGAGCAAGAAAAACAATATTTAAACCAAATAAAAAGGAAAAAGAACACATCAACCATGAAGTTATTTTCTTCAAAACAAGATCTTGATCAATCTGCATTCCACATTCAAAACAAGAAAGCGAAGGAAAAAAGAAAAAAGAAGACCTATTGACAACAAGTACACCTAAGAAGAAGCTGGCAATGCAAAAGAGAGAAACCCATCGGGTAGAAATCCCATTGCCGAGCTTTTGAGGTCTACTGAAACCCATTGCAGAAATGCTGAAGAACTTCAGCTTTAAGGACTTTAAGGAAGCTTCCTTTATAGTCACAGACGAGAAGCTATGAAGAGAGAAAGGGAAAGGCTTTAACAACAACAAAATAATTCCTTTGAACTGAAACGGACAGGAATTCAATTGGATTCCACTTCAAATTTGGCAACAATGGAGATGGGAATTTTCCTCTCTCTATCTCTATAAACACAATCAAAATCACGAGAGAGTGGGTCGCCTTCTAAATTATTTCACTGTTTTCTTACAAAAATATATATATAATATTTCGACAACTCATTTAACTTTCCAATAATACCCCCTTCTTTCAATACGAACATAGTACTCTTATATAGATTTAATTAAAAGGAAAAAAAGACCTTTAGTCCTTGAACTTCATAATTCTTTCTAACTTAGTTCCAAAGATTAAGTCTTTAATTCTTTTGCTGACGTGTCATTCCGATATTATATCACATAACATAAGTTTAGTTTATAACGTCATTAAAATATTTACATTGAGTCTCACCTTTTCCCCCTAGTTTTTATTTATGTAGTTTATCCTTTTTTTTTTTCATATTTGTTGGTTGACGTCAGTTTTGGTATCAATAATACATTGTCTATATTTCTTACTTTTTATATTATATATTTATTTTTTTCTTATTTTTTAGTTTTTAATAAATATATTTTTATGAAACGTTGTCATATGTTCTTGAGACGTTTTTTATTATTTTTATCGGTCGTTTAGTCATTTTCTTCTTTTAATTTTCTCAGGGTTAATTTAACGTCGTCTTGACTGATCAATATTACACTTATTTGTTATCTTATTGGTCTGCCCTACTTTGGACAATCAAATTGGATTTAGATATACGGTTTGCACTTGGAGATAATGTTCTCACGACGCTTGACTCTGATTTATGATTATCGATGGTCTTTCAGTAGTTTGATCTTATGTTGTGATTTGTTTATGATCCAGTCAAATTTATTCGTATCTATTTATTTGACTTTTTTATGAGTTTTTTTTTTACTTTTCCCTTGTAAGGTTCTTGTATGATCTCTAATGACTAATAGCTATAGAAAATGTCACAATTACGTGCTTAGTTTTACATTTATGATGGTAAATTTTTATTGTAATTTTAGAATTTTTTTCTTTCTTAATAAAACTATAAACTTCCATTTACATCAAAAATTAAATTAAATCGAATCGATAATTCAAATCCAAATTCAAGAACCAATATAAATAAAAAAAAATTCATATAATATGTGTAATATTAAATTTATTTTAATTTTGGAAACCACCGACATACTTATATTTATTGAAATAATCCTAAATTTGGTAGGGAATTCATGTTTTGCAATAAAGGTTTGATATGTGAATGTTGAGGAGTTGTGAAGCCAACAATTCCATCTAAATGGACCAATTTTGTTTATTGCCACAATTTGAAGCAATTTGAGTTTAATGCAAATTTATCATATACAATTAAGTTTTTTTTATAACTAATTATATGCTTTTGATTAAGGAGTGCAAAATCGGTTTAAATAGTAGTTGAACCACTTGTATTCAGGGGAGTCTTATTTTATAATTCAAATATTATTTAATTTTTAGTTGAGTTGAGTTATTCGAGTTTATGTTTAAATTTAATTGTAAATATTTATAATGTTATGATATTGAATGATTCTAATTTAAATGATTTTTTGTAACCATATACGATATACATATATACCTCTTCCCATTTTCTCATTTCATTTGTCATATACATATATCATGCAGAATTGACGGATTCGACTCAACCTTGACATAAGTTTACTAATTACTTTTTTTTAATTATTCTACTTGTTCAAGTTTTTATTTTATAACAAAACTAAAATTTGAAATTTTTTGAGTCAAGTAAAAACATTTGATTTTTAAGACGATTCGAATTTTACTATATGTATTATGCATATGCAGTGGTCCATATTTAAGGGTTTTAAGATTTAAGAATCAATTTAGGACGTGAATCATAGTATGAGGATATATTATATATATATATAATATCTCTAGGGTAAATTACATGTTTAGTATCCAAACTATTACTTTTGTTCCATTTTGATACCCAAACTTTATTTTGCTTCAAAATAATACCTAACGTTTAGTTTAGACTTAATTTTAGTACGATGTCGTTAAAAAAATAGCAGAACTACTGGCGTGGTATTTTTCTGTTATTTTTATTCTTCAATGATTATATGGTATCACCTTATGATGAGATGTAAATATTAGTGAATAAAATTTATATACTAAAACGAAATAAAAATAATAGTTTAGATACTGAAAGTGTAATTTACTCTTATCTCTATTAAGGAAAAAGAGGGCAGTATGATCCAATGGGGGAAAAGGTTGTCCTGTACTGTATGAGGGCTGTAGCTTTAACTTTATGGGGAAAATTCAAAATTAAAAAAAAAAAAAAGAAATAGAAAGCAAGGGGAAAAGGGAGAGGACATTATTGTTGATAAAATGATTCAGATACACTGATGAGACAGCTTGAGACAACAAGACGCCATCAAATCATTTATTCTAATTATTTCATAATTATAAAATAATCATTCAATTATAAATAAAAATAAAATTTATTTAGCTTAATACAAAAATAAATGTTTAAATTATATTTAAAGTTAATTTTAGATATTTAATTTTTTTAATTAAAAATAGATGTCTAATATTATTGACATTATATTTTTAGGTGTATGTTGTTAAATTCGATCGTTAAGTGATATGTGTCATGCTATTAAAATTTTAAAATTTTATTTTAAAATTTTAATTTTTTATATGCCTAATAAATATCACTTAACGACCAAATTTAACGGTATTAACAATCCATACACCTAAAAGTGTTACATTAAAAACGTTAAACACCTATTAGTTATCTTTAGGTTTAGTTTGAGCACTTATTTTTACATTAAACCAAAATAGAACTATGTGTAATACATATGTATTTTACAAATCCTAAATCTAATCTTACTTAGAGGAAAAAGATAGGCTTTAAGGGAAGGAAAGATGGTACTCTCAGTGAGTTTAGGACCAATGACCTAAAAGAATAAAAGGAGATAAAAATGACTATCTTAGTCAACCGACTAAATATATTTACTTTGTGTAATACATATTTAAAATATGTGTTAGCACAAATATGACTTAAAGTCATATGATAATAACACATATATAAAAAGTTTACATTCAATGGTTAAATGAAAGCATGTTAACATATTATATTTAAGCAATTGAAAAAAAATAGTATCTAATAAACTAATATTAAGGTTAGTAACTTATTTTTTTCTCTTTAAATCCTGAAGATCATTATTTCTCTTTTCTTTTTCATTTTGTTTGACAGACGACAACACAAGTCTTAGTGATAATCGTTGATTGCTTGTATTATTTGTTTCTCATATATTTTCTTATATCATAATTTTACTTTTATTTTTTATTTAGTTTTTAATATTTTTACTTTTATGGCATGTTTTCCTCTGTCCTTGTAGAATGTTTTCATTCGTTTAGTTGTTTTTCATTCAATTTTTTCAGGGTTAGATTTGACGGTGTCTTAATTGATCAAGATGACACTTATTTGTTATATTGTTCATATTTCCTGCTTGGACCTTCATATTGAATTTGGATACATAGTTTGAATTCGTATGTAACACCCTCAAACTGATACAGATGACCCAATCTGATCCGAGGTGTCACATTAGGGCCACCAGAGCAATCCACAGTAAAAATCCAGGAAAAATTTAAACTTTTTTGTTAAAACGTGTAAAATCATAAAACAATTTATAGTTAAAATACAAGTTCAGAAAACCATTCATATATTACATACGAAATTAAAATCATATAAGTTCTAAACTCAGTATATATATAAAAAATCAAATGTGACCTACATGCCTCCTAATTATACATTGTAACATACCCTGCAAGAAAAGCCAAAGGAACTCCTAAAATTGAAGTTGATAGTTGCACTGGATTGATTTTTTAACCTGAAATGGTGAGTAAAGAGTGAACTTTGGGAACCTCAATAATACAAAACTAACAGATGAATGCAATAGGCCATCGGTATAAGGTAAAGCATAAATTACTTAGTGAGACAATCATCATCAAATTCTAGCGGTGAATTCAGATTCCATTAGCTAAGTCTTCATTTACAAACAAGAATTTACGGTCTGAATGAAGTATTTAGAGAGAGATAGATTCAGAAGATTGAATTGGGGAGTCTAGTGTGTTCCAACAAAACATAGAAATGTGTACAGATCCTTTAAAAACCTTAGTAGTTTAAAACATATTTTAAAACCACAACAATACCCTCCAACTGAACATCAGTATGCAGTTTCCCAAAACTGCATCCATAAGGACTTACCTTAGGCCCATTGGACATATGTGACAACCTAAGGAAGCACATTGGGTCCATAAGGTCTTACCCTAGTTGAAGCATAGGTGCCCACCTGAGGGGTGTGCCCTCATACCCATAAGGACTTACCCAATGCACACAACAGATGAGTCACCATAAGGGAGTACCTTAAGTTTCATAAGGTCTTACAACTAGGCTTATTGGGCCCAAGATTCCATCCAAGGGTCGTCTTAGTTCTATAAGGAATTACCAGCTTGATCGATATTGAACCTGTATGAGGAATTACCAGCTTGATCAGAGCAGAACCTACATACTCTAGAATCCTACCCAGACAATATCTCAATAATCGGTTCATACATTAAATAGTAGATTCCATGATCCTAAATCAGGAATGATTATATTTTCCAGTGAAAACAAGTAATCAGAGAATACATATCATGTAGCCATAGTTCATAAACAGTAAATCAATACATCAGCAAATTCGTAATTTCAGAAAATCACATTTTAAAACAGGTAAAACAATTATATGGCACATAAGGAATACACTAGAGAATCCAATTATTTTTTCGGAGGTACTTAGCAATTATCAAGCGTGGGTAACACGAAGCTTCTGTAAACTGATTGAATTTCATAAACGATATCTTTATAAAAAGGGGGTTTGATAGCTACAGATTCATCAATCATTCAATAAGTGATTTATCAAGATT